AAAAATTTAAATAAGTTTCCTGCAGTCGTAGCCCTCAAAAATATATAACGAAATGCTGCAAATATAAAACTTTTAAATTTAGGTTCAGAGGTTAAAATTTAATTCTAATAAAATTAATTTCCTATGAAACCAATTCATTTCAAATATCAGATTATACTAAGAAAAATCCAAAGTACTTTGACAAACTTCACATGTACGATAACGTTTCTAAAAGCGAAAAGCCATAAATTTGAGTAAATGCGAAATATACCATAAATATAACAAGTAGATTCAAAGATTACACAGACTTTGTGGACATAAAATGTTATTTGCAATAAACATTTTTAAATATTTCATAACACTTGCGTCACAGCAAGGCGGCAAATATAAAAGTTGAGATATATATCAACATAATAAAAATTTCAATTGTTGCCCAATGCATTATTTTTTTGGTAAGTAAAAATTGGGAGCGTCAAAATACATATAGACTTTCAAGATCATTTCAAACATATACCAAACATTATATCGAATTTTACTTTCAACAATAGAAATCATCCAAGCATATATATCGAGCAGATTATATCCGCCAACTACTCACCCTAATGTAGGCAATGACAAAGGTGAATAAGTAGCCGCGCTCTCCGTTCTGGCCACCTGCCGGAAATCCCTTGTAGCGTGCGGCGATTTCATAGATGAGCGCCTCCTGGCGCTGCACATCCTTCTGCTCGCCCTCGAAGAGCAGCGTGGCGGCGCAAATGTGCGTCAGATCAATGCCCTTCCAGACGGTCACATAGCGCTGCTTGATCGCATCCAGGCAGCTGGCCAGCCAGCTCTTCTCGGGCTTGAGCGCCTGGCCGAATAGGAACTGCTCATTGTCCATGAGGCGCACCGAGGCGGGCTGGCAGCGACGCCGGGCCACCTCGCGCATAAAGAGCACACCCTGCTCGAAGTCGGGGAACACCAGGGAGCCGTAGCGCTGCACGGGTGGCACTGGACGCACCTTGAGCACGACCTCGGTGATGACGCCCAGCGTGCCCTCGGAGCCGAGGATGATGTGATTGAAGTCCGGGCCGCAGCTTACGCGCGGCGCACTGCACTCCCGCTCCAGGGTGCCCGAGGGCGTGACCATGCGCACGCGCACCACCAGATCCTCGATGTTGCCATAGACATTTTTCTTCATGCCCGAGGCGCGCGTGGCCACCCAGCCGCCCAGCGTACTGAACTCATACGAGTCCGGCTCATGGCCCACGGTCAGGCCCTGCTCGCGCAGCACGCGCTCCAGATCCTGACCCACGATGCCCGACTCAAAGCAAACGGTCAGATTCTCACGATTGAGCCACAGCATGCGATTCATCTGCGATGTGTCCAGCACACAGATCATGCGCTCCTCCTTCTGCGGGCAGGTGACGGCCCCCGAGACACTTGTCCCCCCTCCGAAGGGCAACAGCATCACATTGTGCTTGTGCGCCAGCCTCACCAGCTGCACCACCTCGTCGTGGCAGCGCGGCCACACCACCAAATCTGGTATGCGCTCAAATTTGTTGTGCCACAGGCTGTATATATCGTTCAGCGTCTGGCCGTGACTTCGCACCAGGCGATCCACACCCTCCAGGGAGTGCTCCACCTTGGTGCAGCCACGCAGCTCATTGAGGAAGGGCGCATTCTGCACGGGCTTCGGATACGTTTCCGGCAGCTGTGGATACGTCCTCTTGGCGTCCAGATCCAAATTGAATTTACTTTTCACCCAATTCGTAAAGCTGGGCAACTCACAACCAGACAATGGGTATCTGGAATTAGAAGGAAATGGATTACTAAAAGAAATACAATTTTTAAAATTAASTAATACTAATTGATATAATGTTTATTTTAAATATTTTTTAACGTATTTCAATTAGATTGCGAGCTAATTAAAGCTATAATAATAAGAATATGCAGTTCTCCAAAGGGAATATGTATTTTACGAGCTTATCTTCATTTGACCAATTCTAATAAGAATATAAATACATATGTTATTCCTTAAGCTGTTTATGTTCTGGTATAATTACGAGCTTAACATTGGATTGGTATACGTTATTCCAATATAGACTTTTAATAGAGCCTTGGATATACATGAAGAAAACTAAATTTAAAAATGAGCAAATAAAATTAAAATAATAGTAAAAACTAAATATAAAGTTACATTTAATTGAAGAAATAATTTCTTAATATTTTAAATATTTTTAAAAA